TTATAAAATACTCCCCATATAGGCATTGTTCCAATGGCTGGGGTGCAGTATGTGTGGCAAAGACAAGCCAAACCAGTCACTCGTCGCAAATCCTGTTTCAGAGATAATGGCCAAAACAGGCTGGAATGTCAAATTTATTTTATTACACTAAACTAACCTTATATATCATGCTGTGCTGTTATTTTCCCCATTTTCAATGTTAAACCAACAATTTTTAATGATTTGGTAATGGTTTCTGCTTGAGAAATTGCCAAAAATCATAAACTTTAAAGGCTGATTTCTCAAATATTGTTCTTTAAACATGATGTGTGTTTAAACTTCTGTAACTCTGTAAAGAAATTAGATTTGAATGATTCTTTTACCATTTTAAAGCTCTCATTTTACTCTTTATCCCTGTACAATATTAGGAACTAAACATCGATTTTTGTGACAAGTGACTGGTTTGGCTTGTCTTTGCCACATATGAGAACTCTCAGACTTTGTTGTGCATTAATTTGAAACTGAAATATAATAACTTACATAGAAATTTAACAATAATATATGTTTTTTTAAATTCAAAACAGACAGTATCTTTAATTGTTATTGTACAGTAGTGTACAACAATTTTCAGTAAGTTGATTTTGATTAATTAATTGATTTATTGATTGATTGACAGACTAGTTCTTTTGAATAGTTGATGGATTGAATAAGGCATAGAAATTCACTTTACTTGAGAAGCATGTGCTTACGGCCAAGTAATAATGTAAATTAGTTTCTCCTACCCACCCTCTGTCTGCTTTGCTGCCTCCATTTTTTTCAACTTCAGGCCTGGAAAATAATTTTTTGTGCCTCCCCCCCCCCATGAAATTTGTCTAGATAAAATGCCTTCAGCACCACATGATATAGCCCAACAGCTTATTTTTTTTAATGTTTTCCCCCAAAATACCTCCAGGATATTGATGCCGGTCGCGTGGTCATGCACTTTCTCCAGCCCTGTCCAACTTATAGACATTAATTTTTTTCTAAAGTGTAATAATGTAGTGTAGCGTAGTGTTCCATATTTCCTTTATTGTGGTCTTAGTAGATCAAATCTGTGTCACCACCAATAATAACTTGATTTGGTATGATGACGGCAAAACAGGGCCTCTTATTTTTTAACATAAGGTTCACACAAGAAACTGTTTTTCTTTCTTACTTGGCCTCATACTTTTGAATAGATACTGCAGATAAACCTACATGAATGTTTAGAAACACTTGTTATCTCCACATGTCTTTGAGGTATTTCATCTCTGTTTAAATGACCACTGGGAATTTCTTTTTTTTTCTGATGAGTGTTTACATTAGCTTGAAGTCATGTGATCTGTTTTGATGAATGTTTTTCTGTCTGCAGTGTATTGAATCATGATATTTTGTTGATTGTGTGTGTGAACATCTTTCAGATTTGAAAACATTTGATAGTCTCTTTTTAAACCATTTAGGAAATGAAATTTCTTCTACTATAATGTATTTGACAATATATCTAATATTTATTCTCTAGTGGCTCTAATTGTTTTTATCATTTTTTTATATCTGCCAATTTCAACACAAGTGTATGCGTATATTTGTAAGCAAGGCATGGTTCTCTGTCCTCTGCCTAATGCTATACTCCACAATACATTTGTCAGGCTAAATATTTGATAAGACTATGCCTAACGTAGTAGGTAGAACATGCCAGACAACGAAAGACAACATTTTTTTTGATCAGATGTTTGAATCTTAATTAAATTAAATTAAATTAATTAATTAATTTTATAATTTATAAAGTGCACTTTACCAGTGTCTCACAGCGCTCTTTTGCTGGTCAATCGATACATAATCAATCATGCAACCTCCTCCCCTTCCTGGGGACTATTCCTAGTTATGCGTGTAATCATGCACTACAAAGTTGTTCCAAATCATTTACCTTCTACCAGCTACCTATTTACAGTATACTCCAGGGTGAATAGAGCCAAATGCAGATAAAGTGTCTTGCCCAAGGACACAAGCAGTGTGACGAGCATCAGCCTCAAACTTCCAACCTTCCGATTGAAATTTCAATGCCTTACACACTGTGCCACCACTAACCCAAAATGCATTTCTGGTGACCACTACCGGCGAGTTACGTGCAGTACAATAGCTGTCTCTTATACACATCTTGATGTGTATAAGAGACCCACATGATATAGCCCAACAGCTTATTTTTTTTAATGTTTTCCCCCAAAATACCTCCAGGATATTGATGCCGGTCGCGTGGTCATGCACTTTCTCCAGCCCTGTCCAACTTATAGACATTAATTTTTTTCTAAAGTGTAATAATGTAGTGTAGCGTAGTGTTCCATATTTCCTTTATTGTGGTCTTTGTAGATCAAATCTGTGTCACCACCAATAATAACTTGATTTGGTATGATGACGGCAAAACAGGGCCTCTTATTTTTTAACATAAGGTTCACACAAGAAACTATTTTTCTTTCTTACTTGGCCTCATACTTTTGAATAGATACTGCAGATGAACCTACATGAATGTTTAGAAACACTTGTTATCTCCACATGTCTTTGAGGTATTTCATCTCTGTTTAAATGACCACTGGGAATTTCTTTTTTTTTCTGATGAGTGTTTACATTAGCTTGAAGTCATGTGATCTGTTTTGATGAATGTTTTTCTGTCTGCAGTGTATTGAATCATGATATTTTTTGAGTGTGTGTGTGAACATCTTTCAGATTTGAAAACATTTGATAATCTCTTTTTAAACCATTTAGGAAATGAAATTTCTTCTACTATAATGTATTTGACAATATATCTTATATTTATTCTCTAGTGGCTCCAATTGTTTTTATCATTTTTTTATATCTGCCAATTTCAACACAAGTGTGTTTGCGTATTTGTAAGCTAGGCATGGTTCTCTGTCCTCTGCCTAATGCTATACTCCACAATACATTTGTCAGGCTAAATATTTGATAAGACTATGCCTAACGTTGTAGGTAGAACATGCCAGACAACGAAAGACAACATTTTTTTGATCAGATGTTTGAATCTTGATTAAATTAAATTAATTAATTAATTTTATAATTTATAAAATGCCCTTTACCAGTGTCTCACAGCGCTCTTTTGCCGGTAAATCGATACATAATCAGTCATGCAGCCTCCTCCGCTTCCTGGGGACTATTCCTAGTTATGCGTGTAATCATGCACTACAAAGTTGTTCCAAATCATTTACCTCCTACCACCCATTTACAGTATACTCCAGGGTGAATAGAGCCAAATGCAGATAAAGTGTCTTGCCCAAGGACACAAGCAGTGTGACGAGCATCAGCCTCAAACTTCCAACCTTCCGATTGAAATTTCAATGCCTTACACACTGTGCCACCACTAACCCAAAATGCATTTCTGGTGACCACTACCGGCGAGTTACGTGCAGTACAATAGTATAGGGTCTGTGGTGTTACATTTGGTCAGGTGTGGACATGAACTTGGGGTTCAATATAAAATTAGATTTGTCATTTAACTCTTTTTATTGTGAAGTTTCAGTGAATGCTTTGTACTTTGTTATGTTTGAGTTCGAAATAAATTTAAAAAAAATAAAAACAAATTTTAAAAGGTCTTACAAACATTGTTGAGTTTTAACAGATAAACTCTGAAAATGTATACATGCCTTACATCCAAACAACAGAAACTTGTTTAGAGGCAAGTTTACATTTTCACATTGTACGGTGAATGATTTCGATAAAAATATTATTTGAATTTGGAAAAATTTTATTTTTAATTTTCAGTTTATGATTTGTACTTGTTTTGTTTGTTCGAGGTCAAAATGAATAAAAACATAAATAATAAAAATAATTTTTAATATGTCTGAAGAAACGTCGTTGAGTTTGACAGATAAACTTTGATAGTTTATGCTTTACATCCAAACAACAGAAACTTGTTTGGAGCCAAGTTTAATGATTTCACATTGTATGATGAAAGATTATGATAAAAAATATTATTGAAACTGGCGAACATTTGTATGTCAGACATCAAGTTGACAGGATACTCAAATGGGAATGCACTACCTAATAGTTTAATCAGATTTGTTGGATTTTTGTTGATAAGATACATACTCTTGTGAGATTTAAATCCGTACTGGCCCATGGGAGCATTTACAGAAAAATTTGATAAAGGAATATAGAGGAAACATACCCATATTTATTTTCCTTATGAATGGCAGAAAATTTTTGTATTGTGGTTTTATTTATACCCATATCTCTTATTCTTTAAAATCATTCTAACATTCTTTTGCAGCACAATTAAACCATTAATATTACTACTAATTATATTAGTTATTTTTTTTCCGTATTTATCAATGTTTACTTTGAGATAGAAGGGATTTTTTCCTGGTTGTTTTATGGAATGGCAACACATTTTTTTCATTATTGTTGTTATATAAATCTAGATGTAGGAGTTAAATTTATAGATGTCCATTTAAATTTATGATTGTTTATAAAATTTTCATTCCTAGTCTTTGCTTGTGAAATTATATTGATGTTAAGAAATGATTAATTAAGTTAATTACTTACTGCACATTATAGAAACTAAGTGATTCTCAACAGATGTGAATAAAAAAGATGCAAATCTAAAGCCTCTTTTCCACTAGGCGAATTTATTCGTGTAAATCGAAGGAGTTGGTTCGGTTCCTGAGGTCTGATTGGCTGCGCATTTTTTTTTCGCTTTGCAAAAAGTAGAAACTCTTCGAACTACCAATCTTGATGAAGCAAAAACTCCAATAGAAATGTGAATGCACATCCGGATGAACTACGCTTTCGATTCGCGCGAATAAATTTGCTAGTGGAAAACCAGCTTAAAGAGTACTGTGTCTAAATTTTAGACACAATTGAGAATTAACAATAATGAATTCTCTGGAATCATTTAAATTAAATGAATTAAAACAAAGGAAATAGTAATTGCTTTCATTTAGTGCACAACTATTACTGTAAAAATATGTTTTCTGGACTAATTAATCTCTCCTTAGTTTCAGTTAGTTTCAGAATTTCCACCTTCAGAATATCCAAATATATGGAGCTGCCTCCCTCTATTGGCATTTGATGAGAACACTCAAAAAACAATTTGCGATGACATCATCTCGAAAGCCAACCAGGGTATTAGCCACTGGCTTAGTACAGAACCAAAAACACTTACAAATGTTTATAACCTTGTAAGTTCTTATCTCAATTTGTTTATTTCGTGTCTAAGTGATTCTTCATGTTATTTTATAATGGGAAGTGATCTTTTATTATGTCCAAAGGCGCCTGTGGAGGGAAATACTGTATACTGTAGTCCTTAGCTTACATGTCCCTTAAAGATATTTCTGTAACAATATAATTAAAAACTTCCTTTGAACACACATGGTTTGCTTGATTGCATTTGCCTGTTGGATGATTTACAAGGTTATTTAGTCATGAATTTTTTTTTCATAGGATGTCATTTCAAATTTCCCTTTTTTCGTTTTTTTTGTTTTTTAATAACATTGCTGTACCAAGTACATAAAAAAAACCCAAAAAAACATAACATGCTAATCGAACAATACTTTGGAATCCAGGGGCTGATCCCTGATTTTTAAAAAAATCTGGGTAAAAAGCCTTGCAAATTTTTTTTTGTTTTTTTGAAATGCTTGAATTAATAAACAGTAATATTTTCAATGATCTACTTCATTTTTAGTGTTGCCATGTGGCTGTGCTTAGCAATGTCTACCAGAATTATGAGCAAAGTCAACCACCAATATCCAAGCAACAACATTCAAGTGTTATACAAACTGTGGAACAGTTGTGGTCCAGCCTGAACATTGAATGTATAAAGGATCATGTTATCCTGATATTGCTCCTTCATATATCCTCGTGTCTCCTAAACAATTTAAAGAACCAAACACTGATAAAGGTAGGATAACTAAAATTCTGTTTGTGTCAATTTTATTGGGTATTGTAGGTAAAGGTTAAAAATATCTGAAGCCTTGGCACGAAGGCCGGAGCGTCCATTTCTCTTATGGCATGATGGCCAGAACGTGCAAGGCTGTGGGAGGGGGATGAAGGTTCGCCACTCCTTCCGCACATCAAGTCTGTTTTACCTTCCCAGCATATGCTGGTACCCAATATTATTCCTGGGTAGAGAGAGACAAAGATAAAACTTCTTGCCTACATGAAGACACAAGCAACTTGCACAACAAGGATTTCGAACCCCCAACCTCAAATATAAATAGAAATTATTTGTACACCTTTTTGTGAGAGTGCTATTTTTTTTTATACTTGTATGAAATATCTGAACTATGGGGATCTTTACATAACCTTGGTCCAGGTTCAATTCTTTGAGTTTTGAACCCCTTACCTGAAGGTTGGAAGTCCAAGCCACAACCGATGCGCCAACCACTTCTCATAAAGTGTAGGTGATTACCTTCCAGAGCAGGCCCCTCTGCCCAATTCACCCCCAGAAGGGCCTCACTGGAAGTCATTGGTGAATTTCACACCAAAGAAATCCAACCATCCATCCATCCGTCCATCCATAGTTATATAATTGATATTTCTTAGTCACCATGACATTTTTGCTGTCAGTCATCATGACGATGTGTTCATCATGACATTGTATTCATGACAGCTTCATTGTCATCATGACAGCTCTATTGTCATTGCCATGACAGGATATTCACTGATTGGATTGATTGCAAGGATAATAATCTCATGGGTTTGTCATTTATATAATTTATATGACAAATTTGTTTCATTTTTATTTTACACAAAGAATTGTAAAATTGTATGTAATCTTTTCATAACAAGATTTTTAAAAGATATACTGTTGTTAGCCTGTATCATGCATTTGCATCATGTAAAATGTTGGAAGCACTTTGGCGTAGCAGTAGTGGTTTGCTTCTCAATCCTTTACTGTACATTTCTTTTATTTTTTGAGCAAGGCACTCTATCTGCATTTCTTTCAGGGACCAGAAAGCAAAGGCGCTATATAAGTATGCAGTAACCAGTAATCTTGTAACATTGTTCTGCTGTGCTGTATACATATTAATATTTAAAGCTCAAATTATGCATTTTGCCAAAAAGAAAATGATTGATTGATTTGTCAGATGTTATGAAGATTCTTAAATACAAAACAAAATTAACTGAGTTTAACTGAATTATCTAGATTTATTCAATTTATGAAAAAAGAGCAAAATAAAATCATTATTTTTTTATTTTATTTGGAGAGACGACAACAAATTTTGTGATAGATTTACTGATGAAAAATTATAGTAGCCACCAGGAAATGTCAACCGACTTTCTATTTGTAGGCCTACTTTCAGCCTTAAGTTTAATTTAATTCTCATGTCTCTTATTCAACATAAATGCAGACATTATAATTATGTTCCTATTATTGGTATTGACACACATGAAATATAATCTGCTAAATGTCGTCGAGGGTATATGTTCTCCATTTTCTTCTAAGGGCATAAAACTAAACCTTAAGTCTAGCGGACCTGGTTTATGTTTAAAGTGACAAAACGCAGGCACTCGGCTTTAAAGGTGCTCGTCTTTTCCAATCACAGGTCTTGAGTTTAAATCCTTGTAAGATTTCATGAAGCCATATTGATACTAATTCCTAATTTATACTTGGCACGTAACTCTCAATTGGGTGAGAAATTAATTTGAAATGAATGTTGTTATTAATTTGTGTATTTGACAGGTTATGGAACAGCTGAGTAGTGCTGTATGTGCAGGGGCTGGCGCTGATACAAGGCTGGCGATCTCCGCATTCCTTGGCAGCATGGGCAAGCTGACACTCACCAACGATGAACAGGTATGTGAGCATTATCTTCAATCAGTGGCAAGAGAGCCTGCACTGCTGCATTGAAATTGTACTTGAAAACTTTAACCTAAATTTTTCAATCAAGTGATGTCGAGTATATATTCATGTACAACATCAACAAATGACGTTTTTTTTCATATAATTTAGTTCTCTTATAGAATTATGCAATTGAGCACATTGAGATTAACAAAAGTAAATAGTCTTTGATAGCCATGAGGCTACTTTTATAAAACACACAAAAACAAAAATAATGGCCAACATAAACAAAAGGGCGAATTAACCAGCCAGTACGTGTGAAGTTAATGAGAAAGAAACAAAATTACTGGTCTGATATTAAACTGCATGTGAAGGCTAGTTCCAAATTGCATGAACAGAATGGAAAACCGCAGTGCAGACCTGGAGTGGTGGGGTGGTGAGAAGGGCCCGCGGCAGCAGCCAGAAAAATAACTAACCAAGTGCATAATCATTCAGATACTGTATCTTACAGGGAGAATATCTCCATGAATCCCAAAGTAAAAGAAATATCCTACACCCATCCTTAGGTGCCACCTCTTTAGACTGTCAGTCCTTAATTGCCACTCACAACCACCCCAAAATAAGTTCAAAAAAAAAAATCCATAGCTGGCAAAAGCTTTGTTGGGTGATGATGATAAAAGTAAGTATGCCAGCAGGAAAAATAAGCTTAGTAACCTCAACACAAACAACCAAAAATATAGGAAGTTTACATTAAGGGTGTAATATTTTTGTTTTAATTGACTCTGTTTTGCCTGAAATATAGTGCTCAATTTTATCTTAATTATTATATCACTACACCCTTGAATTAGGTCATGTTGTAGCATGAATTGCTCTGCATCATAATTTTATATGGACCATTGACAATTGGAAGTAATGATCAATCAGTCAATCAATCATTATCATACAAAATGATACAATAATGATGACAAATTTCCTTCACATTAAGAATAAGTGTGTGAACCCTTTCCAAAACCAAATTTATTATAAAAGTATTGTTTTAATTTTGCAAAGGATGCAAAATGGAAAAAATACATTAATGCCTGTCACTGAGTGGGCACAGTATAAATGAATATTCCTATTCTGATATCTGTGATTAATTGTCTCGCCTAACAAGGGTTGCTTCAGTTTATTTTAAATGCAGTGGCGATGCTAGTTGGCCAATAATGCTGGTCCAGGAATACTGCTTTGAAAAATGATTTTTAAAGTCTTAAATTTCCAGGCACGTTTTAGAAGTGCCTATTCTTAACATTCTTTTTTGTGGGAAAATCTATGGTGCCATGACCACTGGCCATGCTCTGCTCGCTGCAGTAATCCTTGACTTCACAATTCTTTTTACACAAAAGCTTTTAATTCTATAAAAAGTTTTCAATTATGCTGCCAATATTGTAGGAATGTTATTAAAGTGACGGCTGTAGGCCTCTGTCTGTGATGACTCGGCACAAATGTTACGTTATGGGAGTGCAATACACTTCACAAAAATTAGCTTGTATCCTTCACTTGAAACTGAAGTGAAAAATAAGGTTGGGAAGTAATTTCTCAGCTTCTGGGGTTTTTTTTTCCAATTCAGTAATGAAAATTAACAAATGATTATTGTTACAAACATAATGGAATTTTTGATAATTATGTCAGTTGTATATAAATGTGTTTTTTCATTTTTGTAATTTTTTTTTTCTGAGACTTGATCTGGTGGTCTACTACCTGTATGTGGGAAAGAGGTTTATACCATTCTCTAATATTAAAGAAAATGGTAGCGATCAGGGCCATGTGAAGATAAATGAAAAAAGTTGTCAAATAAATACCTTTTTGAAAGTTTTTATTTTAGATATTAGTATGGTCTGAAGTTTTTAGTATATATATATTAGGGGTGGTACCAGCATTTGCCAACAGGGGGTGCCAATGGCGGGGGGTAGGTTGTCGGACAAAGCTCAAAATCTCTCAGAAGTGTTTCAGTGGTTCAAGGGCTTGTTTAATCAATTTTAGAGCCTACTAATATGTAAACATTACATATAGTTAGTTTTTTTCTCCCTGATGAATTGTGCTCTCTCTCCCCGACGGGAGGGTGGGGAGGAGGGGGAAGGGGCAGTTCTTGCTATTGGGGGTCCTGTTATTGGCTCTTGATAACACTTGCAGCATTTTTTAAAAATCGAATGGAAATCAAATGAAATATGAATCATAATGACCTCCGATGCTTTTACAATTAGTTGTTTTAACACTTTTTTTCGCAGGTTGATCATGTCTTATCTAGGATAGCCAACATGTTTTCCCTTTTTCTTAGTGATCAATGCTATGTTGTGCATCAACACGCAGTTGTCGTATTCAGTGAATTTGCCGAGGTATGTGCAATGTTGATAATTTCAAATACCACTTTTATATTATTTATTTATTTTATATATTTTATATAATTTCTTCATTTATTTATTTGAAATTTGAGGCATATTTATTAAAAGGGACTGTGTGAATACAGAAGTCTTTTACCTATGGTATTCACACATAGATATTTTGTGACGGTTGTTGGGTAAAAGTTTATCTCCATTTATTAGGGTTTGATATAAAGTGATATGATGTTGTACATGGGTTTGATAAAAAGTGATATGATGTTGTACATGGGTTTGATATAAAATGATATGATTGTACATATGTTTGATATGTGATATGATGTTGTACATGGGTTTGATAAAAAGTGATATGATGTTGTACATGGGTTTGATATAAAGTGATATGATGTTGTACATGGGTTTGATATAAAATGATATGATGTACATATGTTTGATATGTGATATGATGTTGTACATGGGTTTGATAAAAAGTGATATGATGTTGTACATGGATTTGATATAAAATGATATGATTGTACATATGTTTGATATGTGATATGATGTTGTACATGGGTTTGATAAAAAGTGATATGATGTTGTACATGGGTTTGATATAAAGTGATATGATGTTGTACATGGGTTTGATATAAAATGATATGATGTTGTACATATGTTTGATATGTGATATGATGTTGTACATGGGTTTGATATAAAGTGATATGAAGTTGTAGATTGGTTTGATATAAAGTGATATGATGTTGTACATGAGTTTGATATAAAGTGATATGAAGTTTTACATTGGTTTGATATAAAGGGATAAGATTTTGTACATGGGTTTCATATAAAGTGATATAATGTCATACACTGCCATTATGAACTTATAGAAAGGATTCATAACCTTTAGCCCTTCGTATTACAATTGATTGTTTTTCTTTTTCAGGAAACTGCATATGAATCAATAGTGACAGACAGTTTAGCAGATGAAAGTATTCAAGCAAATGTTGTGCAATTTCTCCATCAGGTTGGATGTTATTACGTTTTTAGTGGTTAGATTAAAGATATTTTTGGGCAAACAACTTTGAGAGGAACATTTTCGATTCAGTAAAATAATTAACAAGTTACATGCTGATATTTCCTTTTTGGTTGATCAGTTCAGCAAGGTGTTTCCCCTTGTTGACATAACAAGCTAAACTATGTCCTACTACTCTGGATTGTCAAGTATCTATGATGTTGCATGCATCTGGCATGAGGTTCAAGCTGGGCTTCATTGAAAGGGGTCATAAGTTCACATTACCTGATTGCCTGGGAAGACGTCTTCTGAATGTGTCTCTTCACCCACGGGGCTTAATGGGTACCTGGTTAGGATGTGAAAGTTCTATTACGCTAAATTTACACTTAATTTTATAGCTAAGTGACTGTGACTATTAGGAACACATCCCAGGTATCAATGAGACTGCAATTTTGCTGCCGTTTATGTATCAATGGTTATTCACTGTGAAATAACACAAGAACTGAATCTGTAACAGAATTATATGCCACTATCTCTCACCCTATATCCTTTGTTTGGAAAATGGTAGGCAGAGTGCTGAAATCTATATTTAAGGCAGGGGTTCCAAGTCTCCTGAAAGCCACAGGAGACTCCAAGAAATCAGGATGGCCTCCCCCACTCCCGCAACCAAGCAAGAATCTCCCAAAAAACTAACCAATCTCCCCCAAATTCATAATATATTTTTTTTCTACTTTATTATCAATTGTTTCACGCAATACAGTGCTGATTGGTCATCATGCACGGCAAAACAAAATTAGTCATGTTAAGAAAGTTCATTTTATCACTTTTTTTGGAAGTGATTTCTTCAAAATTGGGACCCCTGGTAAGGTATAAAAAATAAAAATTATTGTATTCATTAAAGTGTGTTTTAAACATAATACAAGTATTCTGATGACAGTGTATTTTTTTATTATTTTGGTTGATTCAGTTTTGTGCGCAACAGCAGCTTTTTATGGCCTAATGAGTTAAGCCGTATGTTTAGAGCGAGTGTACCCTTAAATTGAGTGCAGACTTCATAACAGACTAGTTTAAGTCCGGGCTTTATTTGGAATTGTGTGTGTAAAATGAAGATAATATAAGATACATTTAAAAAGAAAACCAATTATTATGCTTAATTCCACAGATTCCTTATGCTGTTACTGATAATCAGCAAACTGAAATAGCAAATTTGAAACTTCAGAAAGACATCATTAAAGAGAAACAACTCAACAGCCATTTGCATAATGTTGCTAAGAGAAAAGACATTGGCGACACAATAAAAACAACAGAGAATGACGAAATCATTGAAGTAAGGCATTATTTTCTTTTTCATAAAAAATTATCTAATCTCTTACTGGTCATATTTTTTGTCAGCACTTCACTCTGATTTGTCAAAAGTGTTTTATGAACCCTTCTGGGGTATCAATCGAACTTAACAGCTGACCAATCAGAACAGGCCACGTACACACACTGTATTTACGTCTTACAGTAATGCAAGTGGACTTGTAATCTGTAAAAATTACATAGGAATTCTTTTCTCCCTCACGTATTGGGTTGGGCTCTATGGTGACGTGTCAGCTCTCCCCAACATGGGGGTCCTGGTACACACCGGACCAACCACTGCCACCACTGGTACAGAAAATAGTGTGGTATTTCCCTGACATTGCAGTAGGTGGGGCGGGGTGCATTTACAAAAGTGCTTGAGGTATTTATTAACAAACCATACTTCCTCTGAACCTGTCAACTTGTGTTAAACTGTAAATATCACATGATAATAGCCGCAAGGAAGGTTACACAGTTATTATTATGTGTTACTTATGATTTGCAGCCTATGTACTGTGTGCAGTATTGTTTTCAGCTTATGTTAATTTCCTATTGTTGTTGGCTGCCGGAAATTTTTTGCGGGGTATTTTGCATTGTCAATGCACTTTATTTGAATAAATGTTGGAGAATTATGTCAAATTATTTTAATTGAAATCCTGTACTCAGCAACATGCATATGGGAAAACAACCTAGGGGATGGAATTTAAGGGAAAGATTTCTTATAAGGGTTGTGCCAAAAGGCTTTAATAGTGCTAGGGTACTGGCAGCTAGTTAACAGGCTCATGGTGCCAAAATGTCTCTAGTGGGTTGCTGAGGGCTCAGCAACAAAAGACATAGGTGATGATGTTAGGCAGCCTGCTGGCAAATAGCTGTAGAAAAGGCCAATCTTGGCTTAGATGTATGAATAACAATTAATAATAACTCTTAATATTTTTAAAAAGCACAATAAACAATCTGCATCTCGTGGCCTTGTAGCCAATTTGAATGTGAATTTACAGTTACCCATAGTACAATAAAATTGTGTAAGAATAAAAATGAAACACACACAATGAATTCAGAACGTGTGAAAATGCTGTAGAAAATGCAAAAAAAAAGTTACTATATGCTGCCAAAACGTGTTTTTTTTTCCCCCCTTTTTTTACATTGCATTTTTCCTAGTTTTTTGTAGTGTATTTTGAGTAATAATAATTTAATATGTCTCTGCTTTGACCCATGTAGAAAATAACCATATCTGAAGTGCATTAAGGACATGTTTTTAATGAGACTTCGCTGATAAAGCAACACATTATTTCATTTATTAGAGGGCCCTGAATATCAGCTGACCTTTTAGAATACGCTGGAAGGGTCACCTTCTATAAAATATGGTTAAAAATGTGTTGTTTACTTTGTACGTTATGTTAATGACTCCTTTCATTGATATCCACATTCAAATGATTTGCAATGGTGGTTGTGTGAAGATTCTCTCTTTATTATGGTAGAGGATTAACCTAACAATTGAGATTGTGTTGTTTATTAACACAACATTGTAGCAAGTTACCAGCTACTGTATGTTACGACCATAATAACCTTGTAGGCATAACATGTTTTAAAATGAATGTTTTTAGAAACATCTGTATAGCCATGTATTGCATAAAATATTAGTGTGTTAAACTAATATTTTTTTAACGTTTGACTACAACGTTTTATAACAATCACTAGCATATACATTATGATGTTTTAATTCACTCATAACAAACAGTGTTCATTCAAAACATTATATAACATTGTTTTGGGTTTTTAAATGAATCAAATAGATGTTATAATTTTAAATATTTTCTCTTTCTTTCACTTATTTGTGAAAGTTTTTTTTATCAGTAATGTTCAAGTTTCTTTCCTAGTATTACTGATTTTTTTAATCTTTTGTGGTATATATTTTTGAAGATATTTAATTTTAATGTATGTATAATGTGTATATTCTTAATTGTGTACATATATTTTTTATTAATTTTATTTTTTATAACATTTTATTAATGTTTTTTTGAAGACAAAATAAACGAAAAATTTGATGGCATTGAATGTGTCAGTCGATGCCGTCATAAAGAGACTAGCCTTTGTTATTGCACACAATTATTATTAAACCCTGGACAACGGCCAGGTCAGTTGTTCATGTTTTGCAGTGACTGTCCCTTGTAATTTTCAATTTTTGATTTAATTATCTAACAATGGTTTTTCTTACTCCCACACATTAGTCGAAGTTGGTTTATATGTAGTTAAACACGTTCTGGATTAAGCTTCAACAAGACTGCAGATAATCAAGCGTTACTGTACTTAGTTCTTTTTCAGACAGCCCATAGTGATCAGTTCATCATTCATTCTTCATTCATTTTTGGTCAAATTTATTTTTACAAGCTAAACACCATGTGTCAGATGCTATCTCTCCTTGAGTTTCCTTTAATCCTAATTGAGTATTTTTGCTGTGCATTTTTGCAGTGCATTCTTTTAGTGCAAAATTTAATTGAAGCTTCAGTTTTAGTTCCCTGGGATGGAAGTTGTTAATAAATTAATAAATAAGGTGAACAAACTTTGTACTGATGACTTCAGCTGATAATTTTTCATAGAAATATGATTCATAATTGAATTGTCCCCATGTGACCTCCCTGTTAGAACATTGACATTAATAATGTCAAATTTTTATTATAGTAAACAATTTTTTAATTATTTTAGTTATTCTTAATCATCTTGGTTGAGAAAATAATGTAAACCTGGTTTCCATAAAATCGCTACACTGTCACTACAGTGTGTTCGCTGTAATCATTACACTGCATAGCTGCCCCCGATGCAATTAAAGACTCCTTGATTTGACCGACCAATCAGTGTTTTGTAGCGATTTTATGGAATCCAGGCTTAACTCTAAAGATTGTTTTTCATGCAATAATAATACAGTGCTTATGTTGCTGCAATTTTGATTGAAGTGTAATACAAGATATTGTTTCTTGGAAATTTATTTGTTCAATATCTTCAATCTGTACTCTTTACCTTTGACATTGAGTAATTTAGATTAAGCATAATTAAAAAAAATAATGATGTTTTACCAAAATTAAGAAGTCAAATTAATAAACCAACACACACACTTCACTTAATTTGCATGAATTTTATCAACTAATAAAAATAAATGAATGAAGAATTCTTTCCTTCTGCTTTTCTGCTAGAATTCTAATTACGGTTAGTGCAACATTTTTTTGGTTGTCCATTAACAAAGGACGCTACACACTCACTGCTAGTCTGACTTAAAGTTTGTCGCAATATGGTTTTAATTTTTTTTCCCTCTTATTTTAACTTATGAAAGAAAAAAAAATTAATAGTTTTAAAAATAGTAAAAATCAATTAAAAATATGATAAAAGATAAAAAAAAAATATTTAAAAAAAAAATTTTAAATGAAATAATATAATATAATAATAGCTTAAGATTGATGATTGTATGTATGCAAAATTTCATTGTACTTTATTCATACCATTGGTTTCAGAGGTTTTAGTGCACAAAGTTTTCAGTTTCTTGCATTATAATAGTACAGTGTATTTCCTCCCAGGTATAATCCCTTTTCCCTCAACAAAATATTTGGAAATGTTGTAGTAATATAAATTGTTCTTGTTATTAAATTACCTTTATTATTGTTTGTTTTAAAAAATGTACTTTTTTTGCCAGGAAAGCAGTGCATAGCCTTGAGTCAGTGAGCCTCAGCTCTACATTGTACAAAATGTATTCATTCATGATGCTGATAATTTAATAATTTGTAAGAATGCAGTGACATATAAAAACAATGTAAAATGGAAGTATTGTTAGCATTTTCTTGGAACATGATTGTTAATAAACCATGTAATAATAATTACATTAGCATCCACTCTGCTTTGAAGGGGCCTAGAATATAATTTCTATGCTATTTATATACTTAATGTTGGCATGATATAGGAGAGGGAGTTTGCCTACCTTGGGATGTGTGATTGTTCATTGATACTTCCTACCTTGTTGAATCATTCGCTGTGTGGCTTAGATTACAGTGTATTTTCATCCCCTCTATTGAACTAACTTTAAAAAACGAGTTTCAATGATTTTTTTTTAATGCCCAGGATATTGCGAGCCAAGCTGTGAAATTGATTTGTAAATTTATGAAATTGTAAGCAAAATATTGTGTCATAAATTGTTGTAACTTCTTTACAATTGTTTTTGACAGAAATTAAATTATACACTGTTATTGCCTGTATACAGGTTTTCCTCTAATTAAAGACCACTAAAATTATTGACCACTTCCAATTAATGACCACTTTTCTGTGGTCCCAAGTTAACAAATGTCTTTTATCTTTATTATTCTAATTAGAGACCAAAGCTACTGAAAAATTTTATTGTTGCCATTAATATTTTTTTCTAATAACATAATTAGCTGCCTTAGACTAAATATGGAATAGGAATTCTAAAGATTAATGGAGAAATGATTTATAAATTTGTATATTTAGTTTTTATTTTTGAATAGTTGCACTTAATAATATAAAAAGATAAACCATCCTGCAGGTGTGTTAATAGAATAAGCTGTGAATCCACAAGGGCAAACAAATTTACCCCAATTACGATCTTTACCAACATAGTCCTATAGTCCGGTGGCTTATGTCATCCCGTGGGAATTTCGTGATCATTTTGTTTTTGTTTTTTAATTATATACTTTGAAGTATGCTGAATCGAATAAAATGAGTCGCCAATTTTTTTACGCTCATCTTACATCTAGATGTGTATAAGAGACAGGGGTGGTGGGGGGTGGACCCCCAAGATACGCCACTGCTTACATGGCCATATTTAGAAAAATCTGAGTGCCTATTTTTGGCCTGTGAGAGCTTTATTCTGTAAATTTCTCTTTTGTCCCATCAGACACATCTTTTCCAAATTTAACCATACATCCATTGAGCCATTTGATTTTAATTGTTTAAATATTGAAACATGGCACTGAATGTATATACTCTTTTTGTTAGATGTTTTTTATTTCTGCCTGCATGCTTTTGAAAAAAATGTGTCAGTAAATGTGAACTTCTCTCTGTACAAATTTAAAGAAAGAATGTGTAGCTAACTCAATAGATTGTCATTTAATGCTGTAGAATATCACAGGACAGGTTGAATTATTCATGTTTTCAATAAAATTGTGTCCTTGGGAGTCCACAAAAGCACTGATATATGTTCCAATATGTACCGCATGTGAAAGAAAGCCTTGTGGAATGTATAATGTGTTCATAATATTTAGTGATGACAGGGACATAAAGTTGAGGTAAAGTATTTCAGGATATTTTAGTATCACAAATAATATTTGAATTTGTTATGCTTTCTATACAATACTGTATGTATCTTGTTATGTATCGTTAATTTTATTCATTGCAATATCCAGCTATTTCTTCCTGGATGCAATGTTCTTGAACTCCGTCCTCTGCAGCAAATGTGTTATGAAAGTACCCCATATTCCTTGACTGAGATGGGGCTCAGACCTGCAACGCGTAGTGTGCGGCATGGGTGGGGCAAGGAGTGATGGATTAACAATAAAATTTTACTATTAAATTTACACAAACTGTAATTATTATTTGTGATGTAAAATTTGTTGTGACATCACTATAATATTATTAATATACAGTAAGAATGAAATTTTCATAGATAATGCGATATTACTTCTTGCTTCACGGTTTTTTAACTGGAGCTGTATCTATCATATCATAAACGTCTATTTGACAAAGCTACAATTTGTTTATTACATATTATGTAATAACCTGGGAAAAAATGTGTTGTATTGGTAAAATCCAGAGTCATTATATTCAGCTTGGCCTTATGGCCCAGATGGTAAATCATCTGAAAAGTCGAATGGGGTTCAACTCTTGATGAAAATAATAATGCGTAAATGTATGTTAGATAAATCAGTCTTGAGAATGAATCAAAGTTTCGGACAACACCATATTCCTTTTTAAGTGGTACATGTGTAACGTATGTTGGCATGACATAATTACATATTCTATTCTTAGTCCATTTTTTTTCTTTTCATTTCAGCCAGCCCCAAAAAGATGCAAAGGAGAGCAAGATGTGGATTCTTTAAGGAGCGTCGTGACTCAACTGGAAGCATTTGTCGCTAAAGTACAAGTCCTTAAGCAAGATATTGGATCCCTTCCCAATTGGTTTAAACAGGATGTCATGGACATTGGTAAACAATTAATGGACATCTGTGGCTGACATGCCTACATTATAGACTTGGAAGTAAGCATGTCTTGATGAAGTTTGAGGCATGAGTCTCTGTGACTTGTTAGGATGTGGATGCTTGAGCCTTTTGATCATATTGCAGAAATGGGCCATGGTGAAGTTACAGGCATGGCCTTTGGTGAACTTGGAACCAAGAGATTTGGTGACATTGCAAGAACTGCCTCCTTGGATGCATTTAGTATTCATTTCACTTATAAACGTACATAAATACATAGGTAAATAAATACATAAGTAATCTTTACTACTTCTTATAAAAAGAAAATGTAAGTGCCAAAAAAACCAAGGAGGCAGAGCCAGTGTTAGCTCGTTGATTATATAATTGATTGATGCATGATTGGTGAATAATCCTCGGAGTATTTTCCTACCATGGACCTTGATAACTTTCATTCATTTTATTTTTTCATTCATTCATCATTCGTACATTCATTCATCATTAATTAATTTTAATCATTCATTCATTCATCCATTTATCCATGAACTTGAAATCATACTAAAGCAAACTGAAATTCAGTAATTTTATGTTTTTTGGGGGCATTTTGTAGAACATCTCGAAACACTTGAAATCATTACCCTGGTTTTTTGAAATACTATTGCACAATGTTCAACTCTCCTCTGGGGATTATTCATCAATCATGTATCAATTAATCAATCATTCAATCTGCATTTAATGTGGCACACATATCTACCCATGAGAAAGTATTATGAACATCAGAACATTCAACATACTAAGAACATTCATTTCCTACCAAGTAACTTTATATTCCTGACTGGAGATTCCCAAAGGATATCTGTTTTTTTTTGTTTTTTTTTAGAATCTATTTATATAGCGCCTTTCTCAATCTGAAGAATATGCAAGGCGCTATTATTTCCCTGGTCACTGGATACAGAGTTGGCAAACCAGTACATTTTGTGCAACTATCTCTGCTCCCTGGGGACTATCCCTAGCCATGCTGCTGTGCACGCACAACCAGAGAGAGAGAAACGTAAAGTAAAGTGCTTAGCCCAAGAACACCAGCAATACGACAAACATCGGTCTCTGAACCCCTGACCTCACGATCACGGAGTCTAACACTTTACACAGTGTGCCACACACTCCTATATTCAGTATAATGATGAGTTTGGGATTTGAACCATAACCTTTCTGTTGAATTCTGGAATTGGAACTACTGTGTCACTAGTTTCTACAAAAGAAAATAATTAATTAAAATCATAAATAATTAAATAAATTATATATGCACATAAAAAATAGTTTGCCAGTTTTAAATGGCACTTGATAATAGTGAGGCCTCTATGTGTTTCACATTATTATCACCCCGGAAATTCAATTAATCGCCTATGAAACAAAAAATTGGCTCCCTGGTTGAGTAATAATAATAATAATATTAATAACATAACAACAAAATAACATAACAACGTAACATAACGCAATACGTAGCATATATAACATAATAACATAACGTTGCAGCAGCTAATCAGTGCATTTAGCATTCTGTGGGTACCTGGTAGGGTTGAAACCTAATCAGGTGTGGCGCCAGGATTTTCCCGACGGGGGCCGACATCCCTGACTGGCGGGCTGATTACCCCGACGAGGAGTCAGATTTCCCAGACGAAAGCTTCGGTTAAAAAGTTTCGAAAGTGGTCCAGGGGTGAAGCCCCCGAAAATGTTGACAATTTAAGTGTTTCAACGGCTTATTTAATAGATTTTAGAGTTTACCAATATGTAGAAAATACATATAATTTTTTTTTTCTCTCTCCAACGAATTGTGCTTTTTCTCCCTGACGTTGGGGGGGGGGGAGCTCTCCCTGATGGGATCCCTGGCCCCCCGCTGTTGTCACCTCTGACCCTGCCAGGTACCCACTTTCACTCCTGGGTGAAGATACACAACTGGGTGTAAATGAATACAGTATCTAAATAAAATTTATAACCCATTGAATAGATAATTTTTATTTGTCTGTTGTCCTTTGACATTTAAGACTCCAAGCATGAAGCTGTTGTAGCCAGACAGTTTGAGGGGATCTCAAGAACCATGCCCTTCACCATAGCTTAATCATAATAATGATGAATAGCATTTACATGGAAGTTGTTGAAATTAACCCAAACATTTGACATTTAGCATGTGTTTTTAATGTATTGGATTCCAGACATCTGATATGCTATATCATTAAAGTCTTCTCCAACCATGGTGGGTCTGGTAAATGACTCTTTTAGTACATATTAGTACTCTTTTTACATACTTGTAAAAAGAGTACTAATATGTTTGATATTCAGATTGACAGATACTGTAATGTTCAAAGAGGGTTTTTTTCACATGAAGTGCGATATAATGACCTGTCAAGTCTTCAATTCCAATTGTTAAAAATAGATTTGCATTGAAAATTCATAGTGACACATCTGATGCCATGATCTCTGAAAAAAACAATTTTCTCATTAAAAAATAATTGATAGGTAGTTATACTGAGGAAGTCCAAAAAATCCACAGCAGTTAACCTTGCGATTCATAATTAAACTGTCTGCAATGAACTAATAAACAATACACAATAAAATTGATATTTAAATTATTTTATGTAATTTAAGTAACTAATTAGCTTACAATAGAAAATTAGAATGAAAAAATGCTTTCCTCATTAATGAACAGGTGTACAAATAATACCATTGTTATATTGTTCATATCGAGTCATAAATTTGATTATCATTGTAAAAAAATCAGTAAATTAGTCAATAATTAGGGGCAGATCCATGAATCCGAAATAGAAGGGGCCCAGGGAGGGAGTTCCACAGATGGGGGGGGGGTCTAGTCTACCTCAGCCCCAACCGGAAATAGCACTTAAATTTTAGTATAATTTTTGTCTCCATTTTTTTTAAAATACATTTTTGAAAAAAATGTAGGGGGCCTCGATCTGGCTGGAGTCCCCTCTTGAATCTGCCACTGATAATATTTGATTCTTTTTAATGACAAATTCGATTATTTATAATTGAATCTTTGATGTATTAGATGAATGAATGAAGAATACTGAAAAATGATTTGAACACATACTTTGAAAGCCCTTTACAATATGTAAAGGGCTATCAAAGTATGGTGTTCAAATCATTTTTGTAGGCCTAACAATAACATGAAACCTTAATACATTATTTATCTCTGTACAAACTCCATGGGAATGATATATTTCAATATAGAAATATTAGGATGTGTATTTTCTAGTTAAAAGTGTGATACTATCATTGGTATCAAAGATAATGCGCACACACCAATTGAATACATTATGACAATTGTAAGCAATGAGCAACTATTTATAGTGTAATGTTTATAGTTGTAGACCTTGAAATAAAATTCACATTGTCGATGCTATAATGTGTTTATTGATACTTCTTGTAAATAAGCGTCGTTGTTATTCCCAGGCCCATTGTGTCTAACGAAGTGTAACAGGTACTCATATACTTTATTTGTTGTTCAGGGGGTTTGGTGGGCTGTGGTAGGTGATGATGTTGATAATGGTAAAACAATGAAGATGATGGTTAGATAACAACATTATATAATATTAATAATAATAATAATAATATTATTATTATCAATAATATAACATAAACAATAATGAAGATAATAATAAACATGATGATCAAGAGAATGATGATGATGTAATTATAAATAATAATGACAATGCAGATGATGATGATAATAACAATATCAATACTGTAGTAATATTGTGATAACAGATAATATGCAATAATAATAGCAATGATTTTTAAAGCGCAAACATCACCATCAAAATTGGTGCTCAAGGCGCAGTGTCAAACAACAGGCAGAGAACAAAAAGGAATCACAAACATCAATGTGTAAAAATGATTTTTGTAAATTTTATTGAAAATTAATAAAATACAGCAACACAAGAAATTAAAATGTTGACCAACCCTTTCAATGGTTGTTATACACAACCATTGAAGTACATAAATATCATTGGCCTTTGATTCAAAAAATATTAATACACATAATAATAAAAATAAAACATTATCACATAAATTAACAAGTATCATATAACTTAATTATCTATGAAATTATTAGTTAACTCTTGTGATGAAACACTTCCTGCATCTGTTTGTGTTGCAGAGTTGTAGTAACTTGTAAATAATTGGTCATCTTCATGTGAATCAGTTTATCTTTATTGAATAGACATCTTATGCCATGTAAAAGGGGGTTATTAATGCAACATGAGATTTATCTTGTTTTGTACATTTTCATGTTCCTTTTTATAACTACTCCATAGTATCTCCCAGATACTATGTTAATTTTGTAAAATTAAGTAAATATATGAATAGATATATTTCACATAAACTGTTTGCATGATTGTATTATAT